GTCCTGGCCGGGGCGGGCGAGGGGCCTGAGCAGGAGGCCCGCGAGCCGTGGGATCCGCGGAGGTGTGCCCTCCCCGACCCTACGTAAACATCTCAGTGCACAAGGCCGAGAGGACACGGTGTCTTTGCCCTCGTTTGCTCGCGGTCATTAACTGTGTCTTCTTGGGACAGAGAGGGCAATTGTTGAAGCAACAGCGCTCCCGTCCGTCCCATTTGGAAGGGGTGGAGGAAGGCGACCTCAGATGGCATCTCGCCTCCCTTCTGTCCGGGAGCGCAGGCTCTAGCCTATCTCCACCTTGGACACGAATTCTCCAACTCGCTTCTGGACCCACCTGGACAGTCTGCAACATCGCACAACAGTAACTCAACTCTAACTAAAATCCTGGGACTGTCCCGTGCTGAGACCCCACACTACAAGGCACAGCTGAGCGCTTCCAAGGGCAGATTGGTCTCCGTGGGCCCCTCTCTCTACAAATGCCTGCGGGGCCAGATCTCTGTTTTGTAATCTCATTTATATGTGACCTGGGGAGGTAATGCTGTCCTTGCCCCTAGCTCTCTCCTACTTCCTTCCACCTTCAAACAATTTCTACAGAAATTCTGAGAAACAAACCAGAATAAAGAGCACAAACTGAAAACAAACCTCTTGGTGGGGAGATTCATCCACAAATAAACAGAGAACCCCTATATACTGACCTTGAGGATATGAAGAAGAATCACTCGAAGAAGAAATAAACCAGGAGTGGACAAGTCAGAATTGGCCACGGTAAAAGGAAGGGCTGCTGCTTGTGCCAGGAAGAAGGGAGAACTTAGCTCATCTGCTAGTTTCTTATGGCTGGAACAAAGAACTCAATAGGGGAAGAAGTGAGAGATGAACTTGGAGATGAGCAAGAGTCAAATCCTTTGTGCTATGATAAGAAATTCAAACTTAACCCCAAGGTAATCAAGAACAAAGGGTAATTTTTGAACAGGAGGATCCTGAATCTTAATCTAAAAAACAGTGTCTTAGAAAATGAGACAATTCCAGCACAATCCTGAGTCCCACTGAATGTGCAGTTGGCAGGTTCTCAGGATCTTCACATTATTTAATGGACTAGCAGTCTTTTAAAGAAAAGGGCAATTTTTTAAATTATAGATTTTTGGTAAGATGGTATAAAAATAAAAAAAGATAAGCAATTCTGTATAACAATAACAAACACTACACTGCACATCTCAGTTCTTTCCTTGTCTTTGTAGGACAAGTGAGCATTCCAGAGAATTTCTGCATGACCAGCTGTTCATCTTTTAACAGAATGCCATTCTTCAGCTCATTTGGAAAGAATACTTCCTTTAAGTGTGTAATTCAGAGTCCCCGAGGGCAGGTGAATTTGGGAAAGACATTTTATATGAAAAAAAAGTGGTACAATACAAACTTGATTGGGTGAAAAATAAAATGTAATCTGGAAGCCCAAACCATTTTCTTAGGAGAAACTCAATATATTTGGTGTTATCCAATCTGCAGTTTATCAAGATGCAACACACACATTTTATTTAAATTTCTTCAGGATGTCCAAACAAGCACAATTTTCAAAAGCACTTATTTTATTATAATTAGAGACTTTAAAACTCGGAATTTGGAGTTGAATATTTCATGACTTAGTGACGGTGACCAGCTCAGAAGTATGTGTTCTCTCTGACCACAGGGCATTGATTACTGGAAATCTCAGTAGTATAGGAATCTTGTAGATGGGTGACAGCTTTGATCACCACCAATTCACAAAAATGATCATATTGGCAATGAATTCACAAAATATTAATTATAAGAAATAACTGTTCTAAAGAAACACCACAAGTTCAGTTGTAGATATGATGAAAATCTACAAGCGTCACTTAGAAGTTGCTAAAATTTAGAAAGCTAGCTAACAAAATAATTGCTCTGGTAAACAAATCTGAAATGGCCAATTCAAATTATATATTAACGGCTGGCTGCATCAAATTGTCTATTAGCATAAGACACAGTTTATCATTTTCACCTTTTGGATACAGTTCTTCATTTGGCTTCAAGAACACCTCCCTGGTCACTGTCTCAGTCTCTTCTACAGGGTCATGCACTTTGTCCCAATCTTTTCATATTAGAGTCTCATCGTTTTCAATAATATCTATATGCCAAAGACTCCCACATTAATATCCAACTACTTGTTGCCAAAGAATAAACCAAAGACTACCAACCCGGCCAGTGTTGCACAGTGGTTGAGCGTCGACCTATGAACCAGGTGGTTACTGTTCAATTCCTGGTCAGGGCATATGCCCAGGTTTTGAGCTCAATTCCCAGTAGGGAGCATGCAGGAGGCAGTGGACCAAGGATTCTCTCTTGTCATTGATGTTTCTTTTTATCTCTCCCTCTCTGAAATCAATATATTTTCTTAAAGAAATTGCTCATAAAAAAGAAACACACACACAGAATAAGACTACCAACATTTTAAAAAAGTAATAATACTAACATGCCAGGCAAGGGAACACATACTAGTGAAGACATTCACTGAGTAGTTCACTAGAAGAAAAAGTATGAGGGGATTTTATTTATTTATTTTTTAATATATTTTGTTGATTTCAGAGGGGAAGTGAGAGGGAGAGAGATAGAAACATAGATGAGAGAGAATCATTGATTGGCTGCCTCCTGCATGCCCCCTACGGGGTATCGAGCCCTTAACCTGGGCATGTGCCTTGACTGGAAATCGAACCCTATACCCTGTAGTCCACAGGCTGACACTCTATCCACTAAGCCAAACCAGCTAGGGCTATGAGGGGATTTTATATCATAGAAAGCAGGGTTCAACCCTAGCTGGTTTGGCTCAGTGGATATAGTGTCAGCCTGTGGACTGCAGGGTTCTGGGTTTTATTCCAGTCAAGGGCATGTGCCCAGGTTGCAGGCTCAATCCCCAGTAGGGGGCATGCAGGAGGCAGCAGGTCAATGATTCTCTCATCATTGATGTTTTTCTCTCCCTCTCCCTCCCTCCCTGAAATCAATAAAATATATTTTTTTTAAAAAAAAAGAAAGCAGGGTTCACAGAGTGTTTGCTAATACAAAATTGATAAGCAATGCTTTAGAAAATATGTTCATAGGTTTATATATGATGGGTTAAAAAATTTCTGGATGGAATTCGTTCATTAAGGGTCTGGAGTCACTTAGAGGTCATGGATTTTTAACAGCTTTAACTCATTAGAATAGTTGTAGTTAAAACAGCCTTCAGTTTTGATATATTGCAGGCCAGTATTACTGTAAGTTGAAAATTTCCCTTTTACCCTTCCCTACTGTACTATTTGGATGTCTAATAGAGAACTCAGATATATGTGTTCCCAAGCTTATCTCCTCACACTGATCTCCACCTGCAGCCCCCTTCTCCGTTAATAGCAATACCATCTGTACAGTTGTTCAGGCCAAAAACCTTAGAGCAGTACTGCCCTTGAAACAAGAAAAGAGATCCTTTGCTCAGAGCCCTGAACTTTAGAAGAGTCAAAAGGACATTTCTATCTGGAGCACACTCATTCTAGAATGTACCCCAGGTACTCAGGATCGCAGTGACCCTGCCTAAATGACCTCAACTGTTCCAGAGTATGCATTATATCACCCGTGCGTGCACTGGTGTGGAAGGAGGGTGAATTTTGAACATGCAGGCTAGGATGTCTACACAAATGTGTGTGTGTGTGTGTGGGGGGGGGCTGCTGCCATAGAACTCAGAGCCAGGGATGGGAAGAGAAGGAAGATGAGGATCAGCTCTGCTCGCAAGTAATGTTCTGGCACTGGACTTAAAAGAATCTGA